CGGCCGCGCGAGCTGCGCCCCACGCCGCCGCCGCCGCGCCTCGAAGTTTGCCGGCTGACTCGGAAAGTTGCGCTGGTGCTTGATCGCCGCGTCGCGTCCGACCTCCTGGACTGCCCCAGCTCCCGCCGCTGCCTTCCGCGGAGCCCGGCGCCCGCCGACACCCACAGCCCCGCCTGCCGGGGGCATGTGAGCCGCGGCCGCCCCAAGATCCCGGGCGGGCTGCAGCCCCGCGCCTCTGGAGGCAACGCGCGGGCTAGGGGCACGCCCCGGCCCCAGGCAGCCGGGCCGCCATGGGCATCCAGGGCATGGAACTGTGCGCCATGGCGGTGGTGGTGCTGCTGTTCATCGCTGTCCTCAAGCAGTTCGGCATCCTGGAGCCCATGTCCATGGAAGGTAATGCGTGGTACCCACCTTTCCTCTGCCTTCCTCCTGGGGCCAGTGGTCTGTGGGGAGGGAGCCATACTCGGCTCTGGACCAAGGGTCTGGCAGGGAGCGACCCTCGGGCACCTTGCCGGAGGCTCAGGTTCCGCGGGCTGGGGCTGAGAGGGCGAGGGCTCCGAGATGCCCCCGAGGGGACTCAGCCGCGGCGCCGGCAATGACTGTGAGCAAGACGCCCGATGACACCTCGAGCGGTCATCCCTGGCGGTCCGGGGTGCCCCCTGTAAGCGCAGCGGACTCGGGTTGCCCGGTGGAGGGAGGTGTCGCTGCTTGAAGATGACAGGGAGGACCCTCATTTCTGGGCGCCTGGCCCCGGCGCTACTAACGAGAGGCCTCGGCTCTGTGATGGAACCGCCTATTTCTTCCCCACCTTCCCTCCAGTTTCCTCTCCTCAGGCAAGTGTCAAGCCCACATCTGTTCCCCCAGCCCCCCCAAAAAGAAAATATTGACTGAGGATACAGACCTAAGGCCCCCGATAGGTGCCCTTGGAGCTGCATCCCAACCCCTGACCCCTCGCTATCACCTCAGTGCAGGTTAGGGGGAGGAGCCCCTGGGGACACACCCATCCTGAAGGGGACCGTGACCCACCGGAGCGCTGAGCTGCACTTCCAGACTGGGGAAAGGGCCAGCCTGCCCTGTTATGTCACCTGTGCTCCCCTGCCACCCCCTCAGAGGGGGATGGGCACCTGCCTGCCTCCGCACTCTGCTGACCTTGCCAGGCTCTAGCTCCTGAGAAAGCCAGAGGCCCAGGGAAGGGCGGGAGGGAGAGGGAGCCTGCTCTCGCCTCTGACCCCCCCAGCAGCACCACCCCCCTGCAAAGGGCTGCTGAGCGGGAAGGTGTGCAGCTCCCCCACCCCCACTCTGCCTTCAGAGCCCAGGCTCTGTACCCCAGGTCCATGGCCATGTGACCCTCAGAGGCCATGTGGCACCATCATACCCTTTCTAGGTGAGTTCTGAGCCCCAGAGAGAATGGACTTGATTAAGATGGTTCTGAGAGGTGCCACCTTGACCTTTAGATTTTCAGTGAGGAGGAAAATTGCCCAAGTTGGACTTGCACTGGACTGAATGCTGACCCTGCAGGGAGAACCTGAGTCCTTGGGATGAGGTGGGGATGAGCCCCTGCACTGCTGTGACCCAAGGAGCCAGGTCTCCTGCAGGGCTCTAGCCTTTCTCTCCCCCAGCCATTGGTGGGGTGGGGGCACAAAGCCATGGCGCCTACATTGCTCTTTTCTATTTACTCCGACGACCACCCAGGGGCCAGGAGCACCAGACAACCCCATCAACTTAACCCTGAAGCCTGATTGGCTCACAGGCCTGAGGCATCTGGAGTGCTTTCTGAGGAGACTTCCTTTTATAATGTAGGTAGAAGGCACAAAACTATAGATGCTTATTCAGCTTGCTTGCTTTAAAGCAAACAACAAAAAAACACCCACCCACTTCAGGCTCTAGTGAGTTTCTCCTGTCTGGTATTTCTGCCCACTTGGCCTCTGGGAGTTCTGGGGTCTTGGCACAGTGTGAGGGGCACAGACCCCACCCCACCACCACCACTGTCAGCCGGGTTTGAGCTGGGATGCTGTCACCCACACATACTGGCTTCAACTCCCTTCTCTTTTCTGAGCCTCAGTTTCACACTCTGTGAAGTGGGGCTAATGATAATTCCTGCCCCAGGGGCTGTGGCAGACTGGTCGCTGTGGCCAGAGTGGCTCCAGCCCCCATGCCTGGCATGTTATTAACATGCAGCCACTCCAGTAATTAGCAATAGAGTGATTACTCACAATAACAGAATGGTGTTGAAAACATCCTCTCACTCAGACAGCCCTGCCCTGCCTGGCAGAGAGTGGGAGTTATAGTTCGAGATGTTCTGTGTTCATGGGGTGGGTACCCATAAAGCGCCTGGCGGGACCTCCTGGCCAGGCGGTGTCCAAGGGACTGTCAGGTGGGCTGTGAGCAGCCAGGCCTGTCCGCGCTGGCCTGGCTGAGCACGGCGGGAGTTGGTTTCTCGCTCCCTTCCAAGCATGCGCGCATGCAGTTAAGGATGTCTCTTGTCCTCTCTGAGTCTCCGTTGTTCTCATCTGTGAGAGACCAGAATTATGACCCCTCTGGGGATTGTTAAGAACTAATGGATCCAGGTTCTAGGGCTGCAGCTTTCCAGAAGATGCAGAAGTCGAAAGGCCCTCCTCCCTGGCCGGGCCCCTTGTGGTCTCTGTCTCTGGGGACCGGCGGGGAGGAGTTCTGGCCTGGTTCGGCCACTGGCTTACTGGGAGACTTGGGTGTACTGAACCTCCACCAGCCTTGATTTCTTTGTGGAATAAGGATAGAAATAGAATATTTCCCCCCATTCTCTACACAGGCCTCTGAACTGAAGAATTTTGGAGAGTCAGAAGCAGAACTCAGATCTAAGAGACTCCTAAGGGTGGGGTACACCAGTAAAAAGCACCCCGGGCTGTAAGCCGTGGTGCTTGCTGGCTGTCCTGCCACCAGGCCTCTCGATGCAAGCCTGTGGCCAGTCTTGAGTTCGGCTTCTGCCTCTCCGTTCAGAATTCTCAAGTTCTCAACCGGAAGCACTCAACTAAGGACAGTTTTGCCCCTCAGTGGAAATTTGGGAATGTTTGGAGACATTTTTCATGGTTGTCGAGTGAGAGTACTGCCTCTGGTGGGAGTGATGGGGTACTGCTAACCCCCCTAAAATGCACAGCAAGGAATGATCAGCCCCAACTGTGAGTAGAGGCACTGAGAAAACTTGTTCTAGGAGCACTGTGGGGAGCTAGGGGCGCTGCTCTTCAGCCCTAACTTGGTCACCCCACTCTTCCCTTCCAGGAGGTCTCAGTCCTCCGCAGGCAGCTCCCAGGGGACTGGCTTTGCAAAGGTGCCCAAGGAGAGGGGCAGTCATGCCGGGGGTCGCTGTCTTTGCTGGCAGCCTGGTAGCAAACTTTCTCAGTGCCTTTCCCCTGGTAGTGTCCACCGCTCTTGTAACCTGCAGGTCCTTCAGGACTCCTGCAGCCCCTGGACAGTCTCCAGACGTGATGGCAGTGATAGTAGTCAGCATCCGGGGAGTGCTCTCTCTGTCCTAGGCACTTGGTACCTGTCACCATCTTGACCTCAGCAGCCAGCCCATTTTATGGATGAGGAAACCAAGGCGCCTGGAGAATAAGTGACTTGCCTGAGTTTACCACACCAGGGAGTGACAGAGCCAGGACCTTTTCAAGCTCCAGCACACCTTTCCTAAATGTATCTTTGTACCCCGGACGGGTACAAAGGTCTAGGAGTCACCTGACCAGCAGGGGCTCAGGAGGGCTGGGGTAAAGAAGGTGGAAGCCAGCAAGTGCAACAGTGCTTTCGACTTTTAAGACGAGTGGTGGCTCAAGGCAAAGCAGGCTCAAGAGAAGATCCTGCACCCCACACGGAGCCTTGTGAAGGCCTTAGGGCAGTCTCAGGAGCCTCACGGGGCTCATACATTGGGACAGGACAAAAGTAACCCTTGCCCATGACAGGGCAGGGTGGGGAACCCTATTTTACTCAGCCTGGAGACTCAGCATCCTCTTTCTCATACTCAGCAGGCAATTCAGACCCACTTGTGCTTCCCAGGAACTGAGCTCCATCCATAGGACAGTCCTTGGGTGGTGAAGGGCTGAATACCCTCCTGTCCCCTGAGGCCTCATTTGGAATATGCAAAGTCACAGCTGCCTTCCACTGGACACGCTCACTAAGGAGAAAACTGCAGTTAGATCACGAGTGTGGGGTCCACACTGAGGCGTTCAGAGGCCCCCATCACTGCAAGGATTGTGGGCCCCTGATCAGGACATCACATCATGCTGTGTGTTGAAACACAGCATTGATATAAGGGAACCCATGAGCACTCCCTTTGGCAACCAGGTACATGCTGTTTGAACTATCAAATTCAGTGACACCCAAGTTCAGTGAGCCCACCTCACTGGCACCCCAGGGGGGAGGTCTGTTGGATCTGCCATGTGCATGGCACTGGACTAGATACATTTTTCACTACTGGGTTGTGAGTGTGTCACAGCCTATGAGGGGACCTTCACCAGCAACTGGGCTTAAGGGGGATTGGAGCAGTGACTGTAGACAGCACTTTGGGTTTTGGAGGGGAATAAAGATGGCTAATGACTGGCAGGGATGGGGTCTCAAGAGAAGGTTTTGCAGTCTACAGGGGAGCCTTGCAGAGGTGGTAGGAAGGGGGAGTGCATTGGGGTAGGCAAAATATGGCTATCACTCAGTACCTGGTACATCTTAGCTCAGTGGATTAACACTTGGAGCTGCCTTCCCCAAGCACACGGAGGGGTCCTGCACAGAGGAGCTGCCTGGAGTGCAGGGCAGGGGCTTAGTTGGGAACTTCTAGGTGATGGAAAGAAGCCCAGTTTATAATCTGTCAAGCTGTTGTAAAATTTTAAGCAATAATTGAAATCCTCATGCTGTCTCTCCTTTGGCAAAATACTTGTTTGATGGAGAGTTTACATCTTTGTTGCTGATCCCCTGGTTATCAATACTTGATACTTGATAGGAAGGGAATGGTCCAGGACCAGCCCCTAGAGAGGACGGAGGAGGCTGAGCCCAGGGAGAGATAGGAGAGAGACGGAGGAAGCGCTTGACATCACTATTTTGTGCAACGAGGCTCCTCTGTGTGGCAGGCAAAGCTGTGCAAAGTGGCTGTTTGGATTCATTAATTGCCAGGACACCCTGTAATTGCAGAAGGTGGGTGTGATGCCTCTGGCAGCTCTTCAAGGATCTGGCTGCAGTGCCCATGAAATAAATAAAAAAGAGGCAAACCTGTAGCTTTCTCCCGTGGAAGAGCCAGGAGAGGTCTTGGTGTCCACTGTGAGCATGGAGGACCCCAGGACCGGGCTTGACACCATACGAGTCAAGATGAAGGGACCCATCTCTGCAAGTTCCAGACAGGTCTGGGGTTAGATCAGAGGACAGTGCATAGCATCACAGAG